ACTCTCATTTAATTTTTCACCAATATACTGCCTTAAATTATATATATATATATATATTTTTTTTTTTTTGTTTTCCCTTAAATAAACATAAGTGCTATAAAATATTTTTTTTTTATTTAAAAATATCATAATTTATTATGATACAATTCAAATTATTCACCAACACGCATTAATGATTTAAAATTTTGATTATATTGAATCAATCTATCATCAACAATTTAAAATATATTTATAAAATAATAATTTATATATATAGTGAAATTTAAATTTATAATTTTTAAATAAAATATAATAATTTTAATTATTAAACTATTATGTTGATTATTTTCAATATAATCCTTCAATTAATTAATTGACTAAAATGCTGCTAATTCTATTGTCAATCTTAAGTTTGATAATTAATAAAAAAATTCTGAAAATTTAATTTAAAATTTTTAGGTTGAAAGTTATTTGGATTTTAAGATATAAATTTTTGATTAAAAAAAGTACATATATTTTTCTAATTAAAAATGAGATATATGGTAATATAATTTTTAAATAAAATATAAGAGAACATAAAACCCACTTTCAATTCATAGCTTTTTATAAAACAAAAATTCTAAATCATTCAATTAAAAAATAATTTGTACTATAGTATTAGCTTTTAATTTCAATACTAACTGTATCGCCCTTGTGTATATATATATATATATATATATATATATATATAATTAGGAAAAGCTGTGAAAGTAATTGTCGTATCACACACACTCATCTTGCCTAAACATGCGTAGCACGCGAATCTTTGACAAAGTAATTAATATAAATCCCATCATTTTTACCAACTGTGATTTTCAATTTACTACATATACAAATATCATAATTATTTAATTAAAGGCATGGATTGCTTTCTTATATGCACATAATTAACTATGTTGATTTATTTGGTAATTAAATTTTATTGTCATTGTTATTGCATGCATCAATTAAAGGAAGGAGAATCTTTAAAAAATAAAAAATAAAAAATAAAAAATAGAAAATTAAAAGTAAAGAAAGATAAGAAAACATGAAGAAATTGTGAAATATATATATATATATATATATAATATAATATAATATAATATTTGTATTGTATATATAACCCAATTTAGTGAAATTGTGGATTCAACAAATGGCCGGACGACGTACAATTGCAGCAGCCCGTAGGGGCCACTAGCTCCAATTTAATTGACATTTTTTTTTTTTTTGTGTGGGTAGAAACTTGGATTAATTAGATTTAGATTTAGATTTAGATTTAGATTAAATTAGGGAGACAAGAAAACCCCACTAGACGTAAGAATAAATGAGAATTGAGTAAAGAAGGGTGCCACATTGAAAAATAATAATAAGATCAAATTATTAATGAATGTTACGATTCACAAGACAAACATACAAATTAAGGTGTCAAATCTGCCAATTTTTTGGACTGCCTATACTTACAAAATCCCAGACTAATACAATTTTTACTACCCACCTTTTTTGTTTAATTTGATTCATGAAATTACAAATGTATAGATATATAGTTGCTATGCATATATATATATATACACACACACACACATGAATTTTGGTGGTGCAGGCTGGTTGAGTGGCGTGTCTGGGTTTCAAATATCCTGAACCGACCGCGGCCTTATCTGTGTGTCAATTCAGTTTCTTACAATTGATTGATTGATTTATGAACTCAATTAATTTATACCAAGATTTTTAAGCTTAATCAATTTTGTTTTAGATGCCTGGAAATATCTATACACACACACATGCATGTATTCGACCTTGTGGATTGTCATCTTTGACATTTCCGGCTCTAGCTTTAACGATTTCTACGCACACATATATAATGCATAATTCTATTTTTACTGTCTTTTGTCTGTGAACTACGTAACCATATTCTGTATATCTCTTCTGATAAGGTTTTCTTTTTGGAAAACTGGGGCCTTCAATAACAAGAGATGAAAAGCAGATACAATTATATATTATATAAAGTTGACAATGTAATTGGTAACATGCATACGTTAATTATCAATTCACAAGAGATGCTGCATTTTATTTTTCTCATAAATTAATCACATCCATAAGAAAATTTTATGAAATACATATAAAAATTTTGGGTTTTAGATTTTAAAAGCTAAATTGCCTTCAGTTATACATTAATAAATTAAAAAAAAAAACAAAGCAATAATTGTTAATATGGCTTGGTTTGCCATAAATTATAATGTTTAATTATCAAAAATTAAAATTTTAAATTTATATATATAAATATATATATATATATATTTTTTAATGTTTTTACCTTTTGATTATTTTCGTAAGTAGTGATGTTAAAAATATATGAATGTAATTATTTTGCAGAATTAAATTTCTATTATATTTTAAAAGTAATAATATATTATACGATAAATGATTTTTACATATTATTATAAGATTGAAAGTATGCGTATTACGTGTATAAAAAGTCTAAATGGACCGAATGAGACGTGAGAGGCCAGTTTTTATCAGAACCCTAGTGGGTCTCAAAGTTTGAGAAATTGGGGTACAAGGGACCCACTTAATGGGCCCACAATATGGCCCACCAAAGGCCGTTTTGTCTGTTGGCTACCCCGTTGGGTGGCAGAGAAGTGGACCATTATACCAACTTTTTCTTTTTCTGAATTACAAATTTATAGCCTCAAGCCCCACTTTTACCTGCCTATGGCTGTATCCAACCTTCAAGTTTTAAATTCTCAAAACTGCCCACCCCTTTTTTTTATTTTTTTTACTTTTACTTTTACCATTATTAGCTTGAATTACAATAATTATTTTCTCAACATATATAATTTCATATTATTTTATATAAAAATCTGAATTTAATATGTTTTTGTTTGAAAAATTCTGGAAATGTACAAGGGGATTGGCCAGTTGGGAGTGATGGAGGCGAGACATGGTGGATTGGCAGACACTGATCGAGCCAACACGGAGCGTATTGGGTCTCATTCACATTTGTTATTATACGCTCGGCTCTATTTTTGTAGTAGACAATTCTTGGACTTATTACCTCTCGGATAACACAAACCTTTTTTTTTTTATATTTAAAATTGCTTCTTCTTTTTTGGGGGGGCGTATTTTAGAACCTATTTATTTAAGTTGGTGAGAAAATTTTTCAAGTACAGGAATTTTAAGAATATCGCTCTGTCAAGAACAGAAGAAGATTGATTGTTCGCTATTCTACCAATTATTGCTCGAATCCCAACCTTATTATTCAAAGAGATTATGTTTAGGTAAGCAGAGCACACCCTTCTCTCCTCTTTCTTTCTTTTGTTTAATATTCTCCTCGTCTTCTACTTCTTCTAGGTTTGAACATTCTAAAGTAGCAGCCAAACCTAGTCCATTTGCTAACATTTTAATTCCGTGAATCATTGCTTCTGTATAATATATATTTTTAAGAGCAAATGTATAAGCTTCATTTGATGATGAAATGAGTGGTGACAGCATATGGGTTTTTCCCTTTCTCACTGGATCATCTTGCCGTTTAGAGCTTACTCCTCCTAGAAAAAAAATAAAAAAAGCACCCAGAAGCTGGAAAAGCAATAGCTTCATCATTTGAGTACTCATGTAAACACTCCCATTTTGAGCTGTGAGCAATCCATCTGTAGGGTTGCCTACTTACTTTTCTCTTAAAAATTGATTGACCACAAAACTATAATCTAGTCTATCTACTTTCCACTTTTCTTAATCATTTTCCACTAATTTATATAAAAGCATGAATTTCAAGAAAATCAACATCGTTTTGACACATAAATAACAATCATAATATAATAAAAATAAATACAATACGACTCGAACTCACTCGTGTTTACAAGTAAATTGATCTAGTCAAAAAAATAAATAGTAGAAAAACTATATATATGTGGAAAGTAAAGGAAGTTGAAGGAGACTCTCAACCGCCACATTAATATATGTTTAGCTGGTAATAGAACTTAGATATTGTTTTTTTGACTGCCATAAATTCAAGGATGTCATTAATTTTATTGAAGGGCACTTAACTGTTACTTTTTTTTTTTTTTTTTTTTTTTTTTCTTGAAGCATTGATTCCATGACTTTTTAATTAACTGTTTATAAATATTTATTCATAAACACACAGAGACTTTATCATGATTTAGAGATTACCAGGGGACAGCAAAAAAGAAAAAGGCTTTTTTTTTTTTTTCTTGTATTCTGATTAAATTTGATGCCTTTTAATTATACTTAGAAAGTAATTGAGGGGCGTATAATGTTGCGTATAGATTAGTGTTTGACTAAGATAATCAAGGGGGTGTACAGTAAAAAAAAAAAATGGGGTGGCAATGATGAGAGGGAGGGGGCACAAGTGGGCGCAGGATAAGCACGTGGGTATCTTCTTTCTCATCGCACGCTGCCTTGGATATTCATATTCGACTTACCAACAGGAAAATTAAATGGTTTAAAAGCTTTAAACATTAGAATTTAGATGATAGTTGGTTTTTGCTTCGAATGATTGGCAGGAGCAAAGGTGGCTGCTACTCTTAGATTTCAGGTTGCTGTTCTCACAACATTCTCTATTGTGTTTCTGTTCTGGGATTATAAATATTCTTTTGTATTTTTTTTTTTTTAACTCAGATTGTTTATTCTATATTTTTTACTTGGTGGGTAAGTGGAGTACATGGGATCTTGATGTAATTTCAGTGTGTTCGATTCTCTGTTTGCGTGTCCATATCACATGGGGTATGGAATTGACTGCAATGACATCAGCTGTAGAACGTTTAAACTTCTGGGTTCCTTCATTTCACCATTTTTGTTCTATATATTAAACTGGAGGGTGTGTAAAAATCAACATAATAACTCTTGGTATTCCTTTCTCCTTGGATATACCATCTATAGTCTCTCCTCCATGAAAACTTTTATCTTCCAACTTTTATTTGTTTTGTCTTGTTAGGT